AAACAATAGAAATGAACATAAGCACGTTTGACGTCATTAAAATTCCAAATACATTATTATTGAACGAACAAATCACAAGAGTCCTTATCTCAACAGTCACTCATTCAATACAAACACTCTCTATAAGTCAATACGGTACATACAATTTAACACCACTTAATTGTCATCTCTTTGTCGTATCGACTTACCTAGAATGTACACATCATACCAATTTATATTGTAAAATATCATTGATTAGTATTTGTTTTCTGATTCATCTTAAATGTGTTTATTCTAATAACAATGACACGCATTAACACCGCATATACTTACTGGGGTGAATATTAAATATGGGGTGAATATTGATTGAACTTCCATTTAGAACGTTTGTTGGTCAATGCTGTCAAAAACACGTGATAGGAAGAATGGTATGATACTGATGAAGTCTGTCATCCGTCAAAGCAGCATCAGTGTTGATAGTCCAGGGTATTTTAACAGAGGATTTGAATAAACACAACAGTTCATTTGAAAACAAATGGAGCGTTTCATTTTCTTGTTTCTCACAGTTCTGTGCAGTAAAGCTGCCGATGCGACTTCAAGGAATTTGTTAAATTACTATTCTAGATTTGTTTCAAAAATATTCCAAAGACCTCCGACCAGGGTGCCGTTTCACGACGCGCACGTAAATTTACGGGTACCTGTAAACCGTACGTAAGTTTTTGGTCCGTTTCACGACTTACACGCAAGTTATGAGTGCACGTAAATAAGTTAAGGGTACCCGTAAATTACGCCATAATCCGCACGTAACTTACACCAACAGTGTCAGCAAAGGATCAAGCACTTATTTGCCTGAAGTGCTACATGAAGTATCTTCGGAACANGCATTGTGTCGTTCTAACCAAATATACTCCAGTGGGCATTACGTAGGTGGCGAGTGTGTCTAAACCAACAAAACACAAGTAAAGGCCAGTTTTTCCAGTATTTTACTTCGATGGTAATAGCGACGGCCTTTTAATTACTTTATATTCCATGTAATTCTGCATCTATTAATTAAAATTTAATGAAGCCAATTGTGATGAAATTGAACAAAATTATGAGAATTGATATTTCACAACAATGCCCGGGGCATATCATTTTCGTTAGCTGATTTTGAAGATATGATAAAATATATACTGCTCAATAGTTATTCCGATCGTTTTTCATGTTTAATTCGCAATTGTGCGAATTTGCTATTCATTCTAAGAAAAAGTACAAAAGTAATACGAAATAAAAATGTGGGAAATTCTATTTCACGGTATATCATTTTCTTTTTTAACATTTCCGATTGACTTTAAAATGATTTAAAGAAAAACGTGTAGAAATGTATGATAGATGTTATATACAATGACGTGTCGTACATATAAGTCTGCTACGTCATTTCTGCTTTTGGGTTGTATGCTATTTTACTGTTGTTGTTTTTTTAATAATTTCCCTTGCCTCGTTTATTTTGTCCCATTTTAACGACATTTTGTGTACATCTGCAGAATTATCCAACGCTTCCGTTGGTTAAATTGATGTTATCACCAATTTCTCAGTTTTTCATCCATAATGAGTTTATTGGCAATTGTGTCCTATAGGAAAGACGTCAACAGTAAATTTGATGTAGAGATGTAAAATGATATCTCAATAACAGAACCAGAGATTTATGTACTTGTAAATACTACTAGCAAGGACAACGTGTACTTTTCTGACAGTATGTAACATATGAAAGTTGTATGTCAAAAGAATTCATGATATTTATTGAAAAAATTGTTGATAGATACAATGGAGAAATTAGTCACTTTTCTCATTCTATTGTCAATATGCAAGTCCTTGATTAATACTGAGCAAATCTGGCCCTCTGGTTCAACGATGTAGGATCCATGTCTTTTCGGTGCAGTGCATGTATTGCTGCTAACGGCGGACATAACCGATATTGACGTTATGAACTTGCTCAGGATACACTTCGTTTTTTGTTGTACCGTCGGAATGAAAGTGGTGTTCTTTAGACAATTTTGAATACACTGGTCTTTTATCTTTGATGAAATGTGTCTTTTACAATTCTGAAGCAAGTTGCTATGGTAAGTTTTGAAGTTATTGCTTTACATAATTGTTTTATCTATTCGGCATATATTGTGTGTATTTGGGGGATTATGAAAAAAATTCAGATGAAAGATACTGATGATGAATTGATAAGAATGGGTTGAGTTCCTAGTTGACAATATTTTTGCTGAGTTTGGAGGTGTGATTTTGGAGGTGTGATTTTACAAGATTGCTGGCTTTCATTTTAGAGCAAAACCGTGCCCCTCTCCTATCCAGTTCTTATTTATACGGGACTGAATTTATTTAAGAACTGATCAGGACTGGTAACAAATACCTTTCCTAGTGTTTCAATTCCACTTTCAGATATGGTATTGGCGATGTCCCGTCTTCAAAAACCCCCCATAAATGTATTGACCACGTCGATCGTACTTGATGAAGGAAAGACTCCTCTGTATCAATTGCTCTCCTCGACCTCACTTACAACATGACCAACAGGGACGGCTTGATATTAAGATGTACGATAAACATGTCATTGTTTTTATTTTCCTATCATGAACTTGCTTCACAAACCTACGTTGTTTACCTACCGCACGAGCTTACTGCATACACGGGGAAGTAATTGAATTACCTTAATCAGCATTTTCTTCCTGGTCCGATACTGGTTAAGGAACATATGGATAATTATGTTTTTAGGTCACCTGAGCTTTGCTCAAGTGACCTATTCCGATCACTTTCCGTCCGTCGTCGTCTCGGGCGACGTGCGTCGAGCGTAAACTTTTTACATTTTCAACTTCTTTCAATTATCTTTGGTATTTGAGGCTATAGAATTGTAAAATTGGGATTCCTACCCCAACCCCTGGGGCCAGGGTGGGGCCCTAAAGGGAAAATTAACCAATATTTAAAACATATTATTCTTCAGAATCAGAGGTACTACAGTTATTCTCTCTACATGGATGGAAATATCATCAGGGGCTTTATTGAAATTGTTAATTTCAGGACCCCCGAGCTATCCGTTCTCCCTTGGGGAGGGGTAAAAGTTTACTATAGTTTATATAGGGAAATAACACTTTTAGGTATATTTTTGCAATTTTCTGTAGGAAATTATTCTTACTTGGGGAGAATTATCCTTGGAGGAAGATGGTTTTAAAATGTAAAATTGGTATTCCTACCCCAAACCTAGGGGCTGGGGCGCCCAAAGGGAAAATTAACCAATATTTCAAAAATCTTCTTCTCATGACTCAGAGGTACCGCAGTCATTTTCAGTGCATGGATAGAAAGATCATCCGCTTTATTGAAATTTTCAATTTCAGGACCCCTGAGCCATCCGTTCCCCCTTGGGGAGGGGGTAAAGTTTACTATAGTTTATATAGGGAAATAACACTTTTGGGTATATTTTATCCATTTTCAGCAAAAAATTGTTCAAACTTGGTCAGAATCATCTTTGGTGGATAACATTGTAAAATTGGATGTCTTGCCCCATCCCCAGGGGCTAGGGCGGGGCCCTAAACGGGACATTTACCAATATTTTAAAATTCTTATACTTTGAAGACATGACAAGTATTGTATTTCACTTAGTTTACATGCTGATTTCCACATCACATCCAAACAATAAAATAAAGCTACCAGTACCTATGCTATAACTCAGGTGACCGCTAAGGTCCTTGGGCCTCGTGTTATGTATACTGACCACAACGAACTACACATGGAAAAATATCAATAAATAATCAGTCATTTTGATTGACGTCTTGTAACTTGCAGAAATAACAGAATACAGTCAATAAGCGGCGTCGAACATGGAAAACGGTATTTAGCTTCAGGTAACTTAAAACTCTTAAATTTGAATAATTTTCACCGAAACGAGGTTTTGGGCTTGCATTTTAAGTTTGAGAATCGGAATGGTTTCATGAATACATGCCATGGTATTATTAATTCGTATTCAACTATTTTATTTTCAAACGACTCCTTAATAATCTACGGGTACAGAATAATAATATTTGGCCAATAGCAAGCTCAGATGAAGAGCTTTCAAGTTAATTAAAATGAATGATCATCACCACAGAGGTGATATGTGTTTAAAAACACGATTAAGCGACCTTTTCTGAATAATCAAAAGGTTTAGGGTGTTGATATTTAGTCAGTAGCATGCCCAGATTTGTTCAAATGAATGACCTTCACGCATATTTATGGTGGCAGGGATTTTGTTTGTATTGAAAGCATTTATATGACATCTTCTGAGTACCAAAAAGGCCTTAAGGTTTTCGACCAAAAGCATGCTAACAAGACCCAATTATTAATTTTTATCAAAATTTCTACCGGCTGAGTGTCTTCTGGCAATTAGATATACATGTATCTGTATTCTGTTGAACCTAAAATTCACGACGCTTTCTCTTTTGTATGTTATAAAAAAAAAATCTGCATAACAGACTAGGACAGTTGGTACTTATTGAGTATAGCAACAGTGATAATGGATACGAGAAAGGTTCGGAGCTTTAGTAAGACAATACAAGTGAAAATCACGGACGCTTGTCGTCATAAGTCTTAATGTATTGTTATTATTTAGCATACAACTACAAACGTCGCTATCTAAATAATTCTGAACAATCATTCTATTTTTATCAATATGTTCTATAATATTTCCAAACCCTATAACGTGCAATCCCTTTTATAGCATCGGCGTTGATTCGCGCCTTACTTAATGTATCAACATCATAACCATATGCATGATTATATATTATGGATTTACGTTTTCCTAATTGTGTGCAATATATATATATATAATATGATTCACCGGTACCAGCATTTGGACACGGTCCATTTTCAATGCATTATCAGCAGGGAAAGCCAAGAGTATTCCAACAGAGGACTCCAATAAAGCAGCAGTGTCCCGGTAAAGTATGGAGCATTTCTTATTCATGATTGTCACTGTTCTTCTATGTAGTAACGTTGGCGGTGCGACTACAATGGGATATACTAAATTACTATTACAAGATTTGTTTCAAAACTATTCCAAAGACATCCGACCAGTAGAGGACCAATCGAAAGCCGTGACTGTAAACATGAACCTTGATGTTGTCTCCATCAACGACTTTGACGAAGTAGCTGGAACAATATCGGTGGTCATCATCTTGTACATTTCTTGGACTGACGAAAGTTTGGTTTGGAATTCAACCTCGTATGGAAACACAACTGTATTGACGATTACACAGAGGAAACTTTGGCTTCCCAAAATGTTCTTATGCAATCCAGCAGATTCATTTCAACCGATTGCCAGTAATCACTTCAAAGTCAATGTAATAGCAAATGGAACTGTATTATGGACACCTGGTGCTTTGTTGAAAGCAACATGTACACCGGATGTTTCTAGTTTCCCATTTGACCAACAAACATGCACACTATCAGTGAGCCCATGGGGATACTCGACCAAAGAGGTGAATCTGAATATACCTTCTACATCTGTTTTTTTCACTTATTTTTATAAAAATACTGAATGGGATGTGATAGGATCAGCTACAACGCGTTGGTCGCAATCATTTGACATGGCATATTACTATGTAACTATCAAAAGACGTCATATGAATTTTATTGTGAGTGTTGTGATACCAATCATCATGTTAGCTTTTGTGAACCCGTTCGTTTTTATTCTACCATTTGACTCAGGAGAGCGGGCGTCATACAGTATCACAGTGTTACTAGCTTTCACGGTGTATATGACGGTAGTAAGTGACCGGATGCCAGCTTCATCAGAACCTATGTCTTTTATTTCTTACTACCTTCTTGCAATGGTTGGCATCAGTGTAGTCATAGTAACGATGAATACATTTCAAATGAGAACATACAGTAAACACGATGCCGACGAACCGGTTCCTGAATGGGTGAGGAAAGCTTATATGCACATTCAAAATATATTTCGAGGGAAACAGATACAAGCTAATGAGCAATATGAAAGGCCTGCTTTTACCGACGGTAAAGCAAACAACGGATTGGAAAACAAGGGAACACAACCAATGAATATGGAGTCTTCAAACAGGAGTATCGACAAATTCTACGCCAGTATATTACCTGTATCACAGGTAAAAGAGAAAGTTAAGGCTGACACCGTCTCCGTAGTTACCGACCATCAACCAGAGGTAGTGACTTGGCACATGGTGGCGAAGATAGTTGATAAGTTTTACTTCGTCCTGTTTTTGGCAGCCACTGCCATTGCAACTGTTGCATATTTCATCAGAGTAAATTAAATCTTATATAAATAGGAAGCGAATTAAATGGGTGAGTGCAAAGTGTTTTTAATTGTGTCCCAGCGTATAGCTTTCACTTAACCAGATTAACAACTGTAGGATACACTCTCGCTTGACAGTATAGTGCTTCTCTTCATAACTGCACAGATATTCCTTTTAAATTACATCTAAGGCCAGAACAACTTTCCATATCAATCTGTTTTAACACGCTTCATGTACCAAACGTGTGTGGAACTACGTGACAGCCAAGTGAGCGTATGGCATGGTGCGGCGTCCGTCGTCGGTCCGTCGTCGGTCCGTCGTCCGTCGTCGGTCCGTTCGTCCGGCGTCAACTTTTTACTCTAAACAACTTCTTCAAAATAACCAAAAGGCCCAGGCTGATGATATTTGGTCAGTAGCATGCACGGATGAAGGGCTACCAAGATTGTTCACATGAATGACTTTGACCAAATTTCAAATTCACAGGGGTCGAATGTCGTAAAATCTTCAAACAATTTCTTCTCAATAACCAAAAGGCTCAGGGTACTGATATTGGGCTTGTAGCATGCTGGGATGAAGGGCTACACAGTTTGTTTAAATAAATCACCTTGACCCACTTTAAAGGTCACAGGGGTCAAATATGTTAAAATCTTCAATTTACTTCTTAATAACCATAGGACCCAGGGTACTGATATTGGGCATGTGGCATGCTGGGATGAAGGGCTACCAAGTTTGTTCAAATGAATGACATTGACCCTCTTTCAAGGTGGCAGGGGTCAACTGTCGTAAAATCTTCTAACCACTTTTCAATAAACAAAAGGCTCATGGTACTGAAATTTGGCCTGTAGCGTGCTGGGATGAAGGGCTACCAAGTTTGTTCAAATGAATGACCTTGACCCACTTCCAACCTAATGTTCTTGTTCGACATTCAAGGTCACAGTCGTCATATGTTTTAATCTTTTATTAGGTTCTTATGAATCAAAGACTGTAGCCGTATTTTAGTCCACTTTTAAGATTACAATTGTGAGATTAATACCAGGTGAGCGATGCAGGCCCATTGGGCCTCTTGTATTGATATATGTGGAATCTTCCACAAGGAGGATACTGTTCGTTTCTGTCTTAGTTGTTCCAAATTACTGATAGATTCTGTGGAAGACTACGCCAAACTATGGGTTTAACGAGAGTGTGATCAATTGGATTCACTTGCAAAGTGGGTTAAATTATTAGGTCTACCTTTCAAAAGAATTACCAGTCTTAAATCCGAATTAAAAACTGAAAACAATCTGCATGAATACGTAGTTTTTTCGTCAGACAAATTTAAAAACGGTCATAAAAGAAGAAGACTTGCTTGATGAACGAGAATGCAATGCACTTACTATTTTGTTGAAGACATTGAACTAGTCATCGTGGCATCGTGAGTTTTCCCATCCTTAATATAATAGTATATCCTATAGTGTTTACATTTCACAGTAGCTAACCTCATAAAAGCTATTTGCTCTATCTCATTTTCGCTACCAGATTTTTCAATAAGTGATGATTTTGTCTTTGAATAACAAGACATTCGAGAACTGCTTGCGTTTATTGAAGACTCTAGAATGATTACTTATAGCTTCCAATATCCGTCTCGTTACCTTTGGTATGGCAATAACGGTCACTCATCTCTGTAGTACCTGTAATTTCTCTCCTCGGGTGCATGTCTGCATACTTTCCTAGCTTCCGAATCAACATTTCAGACTCGTGTACTTATGGGGTTTAGTTGATTTCCTAATCCAGAACCTGGTCCATGCAGAAGCGTTCTATTGGCAAATTACTAAGTTAGGGGTTTCTACATGAGAGACTTAAATGCACACTGAAGAATTGTGCGATTTTTCGAGCTCCACTTTTTTGGGAATTAAGTGTCTACAACCATTAAAGACTTGTTAACACGACTTAAACCGTTGTGACCTACATACTTTCCTGAATTTGACAACACTAGTCTGACTGGTACCACATGTGGAACAGATTAAATTTAGGATCACGTAGTTGCGCCTTTGACTTTTTTTCTTAGAGTTACTTTGTTCCTCCTTTTTATCGACCGGGAGTTTGGTCTTTGTCCATGTGTTCTGTGATATGTTATATTTTTCATTTGCTAATACAGGCGCACCTGCTGAGATGTCGGCGTTAAATATACTTGCGTCATTCTAAAGATTCCCCTACCGTTTGCGTGAACCATTATTTATACTTGACCATGAATTCTATGCTGTAACCACTTTTTTGTTACTCACAGAATCTATATAATACCGTCAGTCAATAACGTCTAAGCATTGAAAACGGTTGTGATTTTATGTATCTCAAAACTTTCAATAATTTATCACCTTAACCAGAAGTTGGGCTCGAGCACGGAACCAGAGTTTGAGCATGGGAATGGGTTTCTCTCCTCCCCCGATAGCAGAGGAACAGGGCCCAATAAGGATAACAGAGGTGAAACTTTCAATATTCCTTTTCTATACTTATAAAAGGATTTTTATGCAGAGATATATCCAAAATATAGATATAATTTCAGTATGATATAAAAAATACGTCGCCATGATTGCTTATATAACCAATTCAAGTTAGGGATGCAAGCCCTTTTAGGTAGCAGTGTACAGTAGCGTACGGTACCATGGGTGATACTTTTGTACAATGAATAACCCCTGTTATATTACATGTATCAAAGGTTTAAAAAAATCAACTCTAAAATTGGCATATATATGATGAATTGGACTATGTGGGCTTCACATTTTAAAAGAAAATCGAATTTGGCTTGAGACTACATTTTTGGCCATTTACGAATCTGTGTCTACACAACAAAAGCTAGCTTTTCATATAGTCTATTTTTGTACTCAGCACATATGTAAATATTGTGAAAAATCTAGTTTGACGACCTATGCTTAAACGTGAGCATCTGTGACCGAGTAGGTGATATTTAATTTAAGAAAGGTTTTAAGAAAGAAAAAAACATTACTTGCGTGGGTCAAATTTTGGGTTAAAAAATCATGTATTTTTGGCGTTTTTTTTGCGTTTTTTGATGTGGTAACCATGGTTTTCACAAGTCGCAAATCTGGTGAAATCACTTTTTGAAAAAATATTCATTCTAAAAAACCCGTGTTCAAAATGTAGTTTATAAATATATATATATATATGTAGGTGTGTTGTGCAGGATGATTCCGCTATCCATGTTTATCTGAGACATGCCCATTTTTTTTTAGGATCAAGCCATTGCTACTGTACTCTGCCACCTTAGCCTCTTGTTATTCACATGAAATAAATATTTGTCTGAATAATTGCACACGGCTATTTGCCATTAATAGCGTACAAAGGAACAATAGAAATGAACAGAAGCACCTTTGACGCCATTAGAAGTCCAAATACATTATTATTAAGCGAACAAATCACAAGAGACCTTATCTCAACAGTCACTCATTCAATACAAACGCTCCCTATTAGTCAATACGGTATATACAATTTAGGAAAAACACCACTTAATTGTCATCTCTTTATCGTATCGACTTGCCTAGAATTACATTGTAAAACATCATTGATTAGTCTTTGTTTTCTTAATCATGTTAAATGTGTACATTCTAATAACAATGACACCGCATTAACACCACATATAAATACTGGGGGGAATATTGATTGAACTTCCATTTAGAACGTTTGTTGGTCAATGCTGTCAAAACACGTGATAGGAAGAATGGTATGATACTGATGATACGCCAGGACCAGCCTTTTGGACAAGTCCGTCATCTGTCAAAGCAGCATTAGTGTTGATAGTCCAGGGTATTTTAACAGAGGATTTGAAAAACAAAAGGAGCGTTTCATTTTCTCGTTTCTAACAGTTCTGTGCAGTAAGGTTGCCGATGCGACTACAACGACATTTGGTAAATTACTATTACAAGATTTGTTTCAAAACTTTTCAAAGACCTCCGACCAGGATGCCGTTTTACGACGCGTACGTAAATTTAGGGGTACTTCGATGGTAATGTCGACGGCCTTTTTATTACTTTATATTCCATGTAATTCTGCATTTATTTATTAAAATTTAATGAAGCCCATTGTGATGAAATTGAACGAAATTTTAATTTCATAAATACGAATTTTTATTTCACAATACTGCCCGGGGCATACAATTTTCGTTAGCTGATTTTGAAGATATAATAAAATATCCCACTTAATAGTTATTCCGATCGTTTTTCATGTTTAATTCGCATTTGTGCGAATTTTCTATTCATTTTAAGAAAAGTACGAAAGTAATACGAAATAAAAATGTGGGAAATTCTTTTTCACGGTATATCATTTTTTTTTAACATTTCCGATTGACTTTAAAATGATTTAAAGAAAAACATGTATAAATGTATGATAGATGTTGTATACAATGACGTGCCGTACATTTAAGTCTGCTACGTCAGGTTCCTTTAGGGTTGTATGCTATTTTACTGTTTTGTTTTCAATAATTTCACTGTCCTCGTTTTTTGTCCCATTTAAACGACATTTTATGTACATCTGCAGAATTATCCAACGCTTCCGTTATCACCAATTTCTCAGTTTTTCATCCATAATTAGTTAATTGGCCATTGTGTCCTATAGGAAAGACGTCAACAGTTAATTTGATGTACAGATGAAAAGTGATATCTCAATAACAGAACCAGAGAATTATGTACATACTACTACCAAGGACGTAGAATATCAAAATTGGATGTCAAACGAATTCATGACATTTAATGAAAAAAATGTTGATAGATGCAATTGAGAAATGACGTAACATGAAAGGCTTATGACGCGCCACTAACGTATTTCAATAAATGAGAAATTAATTAATTATAATCTACAAAAATAATTACGAACGGCTGTGTCATTTCGTCCGTCCTGTCTTTGGATTCCCAGAGTTTACATTACCCGACCTCGGCGCATTTCTTGCAAATATTTTGGTAATTGAAAAACAAAAATATGAAAATGTGTTGAAAACGATTTGATACCCATATAACTGCCATTAGTAGAGAACC